AAGACCTTCCCTAAAGTCAAGTGCAGTGATGGTAGCTCCAGGCTATGAAGATGCTTCTCTCAGCAGGGATGCTAGTTAGAGAATGAATGAAGACAGTAAGGAGCACAGTACAAGCAAACCAGAGGAAAACTTGACAGGCCAAATAAATGTTAAAGAACTGAATTCTCTTTTCAGAAAATCTGTATGGAAATGGCTTAAAAATAACACAAGCAAATGTTCCTGAGTGGCCAAGTAATAGTCCACATTTGAATCTTGATAAGAATCTACAGAAGGACTTTAAGACAGGAACCGCTGTCCATTCCCAAGTAACCTGAGAGCACTTGCACAAAGTTGCCAGTGACAAATCTGCAAGGGTAAGCACTTTCAAATTTAAATACCGTCACATATGCAAATATGTTTATTTTTTTCAATAAATGTGAGCCCTGATAATTCAATGTTCTATAAAAGTCTTCTTGCACGGATGTTTTCCTTCAAACTTGATACAACTCCAAAAGCCACAGGGAGATTTTTTTTTCTGTACCATGGGTTTACTGGAATGTAGAGTCTGTTGGCAAGAGCAGAGGGTGGTGAGTCAAAGAGCTCCATGATCGGTACAACATTCTTATGGAGACGGGGGATTTATGGAAGGCTGCAGGAAGACTGGGCACAGCTACAGACGCTGCTCAGATGAAGAGAAGCTATGGAGATGCACTCAGAATCTTTGCAGAAAAGAAATAAGCAGGTCACTGTTTAGTTAAATCAAGGGAACAAACTGCAAATTAAAGTCTTCTCCGCTGCTGTTCTTTCCAGTGATTTTACACAAACACTGCACTTGGCAGGCAGGTGATAACACCAAAACTCTAATCTCTGTTGTACAGGTAGCATCCCAATTGCCTCGGATGTGCACCCAACAGTTGACTGGGCTTGTTGTAGCTCTAAAGAGCTCTGCATGCCTTTGTGTTTCACAGGGGAATTGAGAAGGATTTTGTATACATATTTTTTTTAATTTGAAGATGCTTCCCACATAAGAATGTCAGGGTATGTCAGAAAGTTTCGCATTAATTTTTCCTAAAAATGTTACTCTAAAATCAAGAACATGACACTTGTATAGCACTTATTAAATGAAAATAAATTACAGAAACTGGTTAGTAAACTGCATATTCAAAATACCTGCTAAATGTTCAACTACTGTTGTGATTTTGTCCTTTCAAGTTGTTTGAGGAGGCTATACTTAGTTTATCCATATAAAACGAGATGCCTTCCCTTTGTTATTCTGGACATTAAATTTACCAGCAAACCTCCCCCCTCCCCCCCAACTTGATGAAGCCACCGATTATTTCTGACATTAAGCCAATGTTCCATGAAGGAAAATACAAGCCTTTGATAATCTTTTAAAGTTGTCTTATCATAAATGTTTAGTTTGTTTTTTTATTAAAGCTGTTAGCGGTATTAATAGAAAAAAATATCTGATGATTAAAACTGCTGTTAACATTTGAAAGTATATGTTTCACAATCTATGCAACCATATAAAATATAGCCCATTTTAATTTAAGGGATTTCCACAGAGAGCACCTCCAGCACTAAATAATTTAATATCACATCAGATCCTAGAGGAGATACCCAATTGAACGGAGACAGCAATCAGAGCCATGCTTAACTTTAATTACTCTTCTAAAATCAAATATTAGCCCTGGAGTCAAGTTTGAATAATTCCATCTAAAAATTAAATGTTCCAAGAGTGAATGAAGATGGTGATGATATGAGAAAGCAGCAGAGAGCAGGAGAAAGTCAAGGGGGACACTTGGCGGGGGATGGGATTGGGAGATAGAATGCGAAGAATTGATGCTGGCCTGATCCACCTCAGACATTCAGCTGTGTTGTATCGAAGACCTTTGCTGTAATCGCAAAATAAAACGAGAGGACATATTTCAGTGTTTTTCTTTTTTACAAGAGCCGTAAGTGTCAAAGCTTGATGTTGAATATCATCTGCATGTACTTTACATATTTAACCAAAATGGTATGATCTGGTATTGCTACTCCAGGCCACAAAGTGGCGCTATGCTCTGTATACTGAGCTTGTGGCATTCCTGTGCGTCTAAACCAATTAAGGGGTGTTTCACCTCCTCGTGGTGGAACCCTGACGCTGATGAAGCGCCACAGCCATGTTTCCTGCTGTAAGAAGAAAGGAAACTAAGTGGTTCTGTGGCTGTACACATTTGGAGTGGACACTAGTCTTTTCCCAACAACTATAACTAAGTGTTTAACTATACTTGGTTGCTTATTACTTATTTTTCTCTACAGTATGAATGAATATTCTGTTGCTTTTACCGTTTACTGGGTGACTGTAGAAAATTAAGCATTTGTTTTCTTGGAACAGAACCCCCAACTAAGTCTCTGTTTATGATACAAAAACAGTTAAATAATCCATCTCCAAACATCACTTCTAATATCCTTATAATTACTAATTTTCTAATCCTTAAGTGTGATTAAAAAATCTATTAAACACCTCACTTAACTTTACCTTTGCCAAAAACCCAATTTCATTCTGACTCGGGCGTTACAACCTGGTTTCAAAATTAAAGCACAAAACCCATTAAGCGGGCATTATGAAATAATATAATATCTACAAATTGGCCATTATATTAAAAATGTTAATCTCCCAAAAGAAATAATTCTTTAAAGTCAATCTTACACCAATTAAAAAGCATGTGTACATTTACATATTAATAAAAGCTCTCAGGAATGGTTCACAAAGAAAGAAAGAAAGATTATATTGGCCAGAAAACAAGAGAAGGAATGCCAGGGTGAGACATTACCGCAAAGCTGTCATCACAGAGAAAGCACCTTTCTTATGTAATCGTACTTCATTCAGCTGCTCTATCAGATGATTGTCACAGAAAAGCCATTTTAAAGGGAAACTGCGTAAAAATAATAGCATGTTCGCCTACATGTCCCACGGTGTTCAGCCAGCAGAGTGCACAGGTCAGTGAAATTATTTGACAAGTGGCACATCTGATCCAGGAGACAATGACACAGTCTTGACACTCATTTGAAATGCCATTTTTTCCAGCTGACCCCTCTGGTAAAGTGCCATTTTCACCGTTAAAAAAAAACCAATACCCTTTTGGTGAAACAAGAATCTCCAGTTATGAAATAATAAATCCTGAAAACACACTAACAACCTGGTTGTCTCCCGACCCTATCCTTCACATGGTTCCACCTTGCTATACTCCCCCTCACTCCCCCTCCCCCCCCCCCCGACACACACAACCACAGAGTTCAGTAAAATGACTGGTGTTTCAAACATTCTTTTCATTCACTGCTAAAAAAACCCAAGGTGATACTCTTGCATATATATTTTTTCCTGAAGTGGTTTTGAGAAGTGTCACAAATCTCACGCATCATGATTTTGTCTTCCTGTCTGTGAGAAACGTACGTGGATAGCTTGCCGGAAGCTCACAGATTTACCCCGACCCCATCAGGTCCCCGGGAGTCAGCAGGACACAGAGGATTGAAAGGGGAAGGTACAAGGGCTGTCACCTCTGGGGCCATGACCGATGACAGGAGCAGGCGGGTGCAGTTGGAGGAAGGTCTTCAAGAAAGGCTGATGCATTATTATAAGCAGATGGCATCCTTGTTAATCTGTCAAAGCTTAATTTCAGGGGCGGGTCTTTGGCCGACCTGTTTAATTGCTGTGAGGCATGGGTAAGCATCAGTCAGCCAAAGCCAAATGAGCTCTCCTTGGTGCGCCTGCTCACCTAGGCTCAGGATGACGGTCTTTGTCTGGAGAGCTTCTGCTAAACGAAAACATTTTTAAGGCAGCGCTGAGCAAAGCTGTCACTTGTGTTAAACACAGCACACTTCCCATCTAAGCCATACTGATGGGCTACTTCTCTATTATTATTTATAGTGTTAGCTGTAGCATTTATTTTTGATTATTAAGCTAGTAAGGCCTCTTCAAAATACAAATCAATAGCTCATCATAGTCTTTTTTGCATGGATACAGCCATTTAAGTAGAATCAAAACCACAATTAGGATTAGACTCAAAACGTTTTTACTGCAAGGTCAGCTTTTCAATAATACAGTTTATATAAAAAGATGAACCATTCCATTGGCTTGCAAGAAAAAAGGTGATTTCCTAGTTTAAATGGTATGGAGTTTGGCTGCACCAAGAGCAAAGCGTTAAGCTCCCAAATAAGTAGGACAGGTGCTAGAAGATTAAAATAAAAAGGTGGTGGAAACCAAGCAGCAGCAGGCAGAAGCAGGGGGGCTCATCTGCTTTACGGCAGTCGCCCCATCGTCGATGTCAAACGTCTCTCCCAGGAGTGCCAGAGCTACCCCCACTCTGCCCAGCAGGACAGGGCATACGGTAAGTTTGTCCAGAACCTGCATGCTTCACAACAAGAACGTATCCTTTCATCTGTTCGGAAGCACTGCTGCCAAGCAGGCGGGCTCTTCATGCAAACCGTACTGCGGCTGCTAATGTAAAGTGACTTCCTGCATACTGCCTTAGGAGACATAAGAAGAGGAGACTGACGCAGACTTTGGGACCCAGATGAAGAGCTCAATGGACGACAGTAAGCAAGACTGGTTTGTGTGTTTATAATGAGCGACTTATAATAGTAAACTAAATTCCTGTCTTCAGAAACAAGTCAATTGAGAAAGCCATATTTCAAAAGCAACTAGCTATTAATATTAAACTAATATTAATATTAAAATAGCTGCAAGGCAGGGGTTTGAATCCCACATCCACTCTTTGTATGTTAAGTTTGCATGTCGTCCCTGTGATGGATGAGTGTCCTCTTGCAGTCCAAAGACATGCAGTTAGGCCAAATGGTCTCTAAATTGTCCATAACGTGTATGTGTGTGTGTTGCCCTTCGATGGGCTGGCATCCCTTCCAGGATTTATCTGTGCCCTGCACTTCCTGGGATAGGTTCCAGTCCCCCCTGCCATGAACCTGCACTGGATAAACGATTGGAAAATGGGTGGATGGAATAATGCTATATCTACAAAGCTTTAGTGAATTTCATCAATATATCTATTTAAAATTTTATTTCATCTTTATACAAGGTTAAAAAACATGCACAAAGTGCTGCATTTCTGCATTTTTTACATTTTTGATATAAAATATACAACTGCATAAACAGTATATATACAGTAGCAAAAACAGCTGAATATGGAATAACATGGCAATCACACTTTTAAATTTAAGTAAAAAGATATAGGCAGTTATTTTGCTTATGGGAAATATGGATACAGAGTAAGGGAAAAGCCACCTTGTCTGAAATGGTGACTTCACTGGCCAGAGAGACAGCATCACTGCTCAGGGTCTGCTGCGATGCTGAACGTGCCCACAGCCACCATGTCTGAAATGGTGACTTCACTGGCCAGAGAGACAGCATCACTGCTCAGGGTCTGCCGCGATGCTGAACGTGCCCACAGATGCCGTCCTCTCAGTCTCGCTGATCCCCTCGCCATCTCTTGGCTGTCCTCCACTGCCCGCCTTTCCCTGCAACAGACACCAGTAAACCGCAGAACTATGATCCATCTTCAGTGGGAGGGCAATTAGTCACTATCCTACAATAATGCAGAGTTTAAAAATAAAGCCATTTTTTTTTACTTTTTATAAAGCATATGTTAAATTTCAGCCTGTCAAAAATATTGCATTGGTCATGAGGTCAGGTACAAAGCTCTGACAATTTAAAAAAAGAAAGAAAAAGAGCAAGCAAAAATAATCCAAATAAAGTATTTAAGAAGCAAAGCAAAACAAATGGTCATATTCATGGAAAAAAAAGAAAAAAAAATCATAGAATTTCACCGCTGACAAAAAAAATGGCCATATCCTGGTGAACACACTGGTTTTACTTTTAGCAAACACTACAGTTTCATTTTTAAATAAATGCATGGAGGACTCTGCTAAACAACAATCACAGACAGACACCCCACCCCATATTTTCTGAACATGAAAAAGGCTACCAGCCTTTCAATTTGCTTTAGTGTCCTACTGAATTACCATATGAGAGAGTATTTACAACTCTACAAAATTTCCATCCATTTCAATGAAGGTTATGTCCGTCGCTGTGATGGAACAAAATGAAAAGGCTGCCTTACTTGTTGCATGCAATTAGACCTCGACAAGACAGCAAGGACAGTTAAACATTTCATAGAGCTGTAATTATGCTTTAACTGTTAGAAACCATCGTCCCCTAGGAACTAATTACTGAAAAGCACTCATCACACAGAAGATATGCACAAACAAATCCTTCAAGCACAAAATAAATGTTTAAACATTAAAAGGGACGAATAGCTGGAGTCATACCAATCAGTTTGGTTCAGTTAATTACTAATAAGAATTGCAGCCCCATTGTGTTAGATAATTATGACACCAAATCAGAGCTCAAACACAGGGCCTCTAGCTGACTGTAATGTGGATCTAATAATCAGTGTAAAAGTAATCAAGCAGAAATGAAGCTGGGCTGCTGGGGATGTTTACAGGGCTGCAGGCTTATTACTGGTATTACACGACAGCGAGGAAAATGTAACCAGCACCAGTTTGACTATGGAGTAGACTGTGCTCATGAATGGAGGGTGTGCTCCCAGGTCCTCCCTTCCAGCAGGCACCGTGAGCCCTCAGAGGCTAGGCCAGGGTCCTCATCATGGCAAAAAAAATAAACACCCTTAGCTTATATTCCAATACACAACATGACCACAGCACCAACTAACCGAAACTGAGTCAAAATACAAAACCTAAACAGAGATGGCTGGGAGGGGATTGCGCCCTCTTTGGGTCCTCTGGCCAACGTATTTACAAGAACACCGACTCAGGTTTTTCTGCAAAGATGCCTACAGAGCTAAACAACGATTTGGCCCACGCTTTAACGCCTGTTCACCTCCATTACCTTGCTGCCTACAATTGGCTCTCTCGGCATGAAATGAGGCAGCTCTGGAAATTCTCTGGCCCAGATCTGTACCACTATGGACAGTCAGACCACCTATGAATGGCACAATTTGGCTCTGATATTTGTGTGAATGAGAGGAAGAAACAAAGCTGTATAAATCCTATTTGGTCTGGAAGCGGCACATATGGAAACTTACCAACTCGTGCTAATACAGCTAATAGGATGTTCCACTCTAAATGAAAGCTTGTGTTAATACTGAGATTTTCATTCATGCTGGAAATTGTAGTTTTAAATTACAGTTTAATGCTTTAGATTTTTAATAAGACTCTAAAAAAACCTACAAGGGAAAATAAATTAAAAAATTACCACAGCCACCGAATAGAGCCTTAGCTTCCTATTGTCAGCCAATTACTATGCAATCTTTTTCTTATGACTGAATAGCTCACTGTTAGCAAATAATGAAAAGGCAATTATGGCAAAGCTGTGTTCATATTACCCTCTTCATTTTATGCAGGCTGTAATTATTGTCAATCCTAAAGGCTTATTCTACCATGTAAAAGGCACCAGGGAAGAAAATGGAGTGGGCTGGTGCATGAAAAATCGCAAATGTCACAGCTACCTTTTTATCAGCAAGACCGCTAGACTTTTACTGCCGCGCATACAGTAGGAGAGTTGGTGCACACCGACGCAGACACGCACACGGACCTACATGCGTGTCTCCCCACTCACTCCCCAGGCCCGGCCACCTCAAGCTGTTGGGGTTATTCATGTAGAGCACATAGCGATGAAGAGAAATGTGATTAGGGATGAGCAAAGGAGGAGTACAACTTAATACACCAAAGACCAGCTTTTCTGTGCCAATGTCTATGCTGAAAGATAGTCAGGGAAGTGGCCCTTTTGCCATGGTTCTCATTAACTGTCTCCATGCTGTTCAGTAATGGGGAGTGGCATATAAAATGATCCACTTTACCGTCTTTGATCTATTATTTCAAAAGGAAGTGTGCTGTGTACGGAAACTCAGTATTTAACAAAGGGAGTAAGGAGAACCCGAGGTATTGTTTTCTTAATGGGCACTAGTCACATTTCATAGATATTTCCAGATACACGGCATCAGCGGAACCCTCCCAGGCGCACGTCACAACCGCCTTTCCGGAGATACTGACACAGTCGAGCCGCTCAGGCAGCACTTAAAGGGGAAACGACAAAAAAATGCAGGCAAATTTCAAGGTCAGCATTAAAACCCCCTAACTACCATTTTAGAAGCGACCCACCAAATCAGAGTCGGAAATGTAATACCCAGCGTATTATATTTTCTTGTTTTTCAGAAGCTACGGCACCTTTTGTGTTTAACAAGATTCTTGAAAAGACACAGAATGTGATTTTTTTCCCCTCCCTAGATACACGGTATACTCAGAAGCCACTGAATCTGCTTTTCAAATCAGTACCGCAGGCTGTCACAACCATGCTCCTCATCTTAGGTAAAATCCTCCCCCAGCAGGCTGAGCACAAAAGCAACCGCAAAGCTTTCAACTTCCACAATCTTTAACGTCCTAAGCACAAACACACTGAGCGACAACTTCCTTATTTATGCCACCCCCACATTTGTGTATTTACCATTCAATACAAAAGTAGCAGGCAGTCATTACAGTGTCACAGTCAATCTGGAGAATCTAAACTAAGAGACACCGATGTCACGTGTTGGACTATTCTTCCGATGCTCGAAACATGTGGTTGTTTGATGTGGCTAGTATCATATAAAACCACAAAAATGTCAAAATAAAAACGCAAACGTTCCAATATGCATTATTACAGAAAAATGACAAAGCAGGCGGTGACAGTCACTGCGAATCTTGACACATACCTGCATGCTGCAAAAGTGGGAATGTTTTAAGTGCTATGACGTTTTACCCTTCACATAAACTATCAGATCCATCCATCACCATCCATTTTTCTGACTGTGGGCTTCTCTTCATGCTTCATGCAGGAACCACTTCTATGTACTAGAAATTTTCAGAATCAACTAATTAATGGTTTAAAAAAATCTATTTACAGATACTGAAACACTTTATTACACTGAATAGAATAGAATGATACTTTATTGATCCCTGCAGGGAATTTCTCTTTTTGCCAACCCCATCCTATTCCCTGTGAGACCTGTACAGACAAGAGCAAGCTTGGGGATCAAAGGGAATTGCGGTCATCTACAGCACCCCTGGAGCTGGGGGTTAAAGGGCTTTCCAATCACAGGCACCGAGGCTTAGCCCACTGAGCCACCCCCCTAAAAAGTGACACGTGGCCCATATAAGATTCGAACCTGCGAACTTGGCATTATTAGCACAACGCTCTAACCAGCTTAGCTACCCAGTCAACATGCCACAATCATAAGGAAAAGAATTGAGTTTATGTATTTAGATATCAAGCCAGACCCCTGAAGTGCTGTTGAACATCAGTGTCAAATTCCTCAGCAGAAACCGGAATTCAGAGAACCACATTGATGTAGGACCACAAACAGTGATCTTGAGTAATAAGCCTGTTAACAGGCTGTAATCCCCCCAAGCCAATCATCCTGACCAACTAAGCTAAGCCTGTCTAGAGGTCTAGACAACAGACTAAACTTTAAGTCTAGGCTGTACTGTATTTACCAACATATGCATTTGGCTGTCATTACCAACATGTGATGTCTATTCACATCAAGCATTTGATGGGAAAGAATTAACTTCTGACACAATGAAAGCAACAGGCCATTTATTTCTACTGTTTTTAAGGTTTATTTTAGGCTTGAGTTCCCACCAAGGCTGGAAACATACAACTCCCACTTCAAGTGGAAAGTGATACTCCATTACTTACAAATGCACGGCAAATGGGAGCAGATGTGATTTATTGATGGACTGAGTGTGATGACGCAAGATGGTGCATCCCGCAGGAATACTGATAGACTCCATGACATAATAACTTGTCCAGCACACCAGCGGGACACAGAAATGCTCCCAAAGATAACACAGCCTGACACCCTGAGCAGAGGGGAACTTCCCCAGTGCCTTTTTAGCTCTTTAGAAGTCACTAATCATGGGTCTGACTGGAAAAAGCAGAGAGGAAATAAATGTTTTAAAACTAGGGACTGTAAACATAGCCACTCTGTCATGTATTACTAAATTACACTCCTGGGGGTGATAGAAAAGGCTAAACACACACTGATGGCCAGTGGTGCATTTGCAGATTAAACTAGGGATGAGGGGTTGAATGACACACTGGTGAATTACAAAGGCACTCTGCAGCTCTGCTCCAGGTCTAAGAAACAGCCTCTAATATTTATACACATTTTCCACACGTCACAGGCAGGCATATGAGATCAGGAAGGAGCACCTCTTCATGCGCCATTCAGTTTAGCCTTCTCAGCTAAAAGGCTTAATTGGCGTCATTACAGCTTTCACCACAATCAGCTGACAACTTTAAAAACCACACCAACAGTTACACATACTATGGGGCCAGGGTAGTCAGAGGTTATTCGTACTCCGAAATCATAACTCAAATGAACATCTTGTACAAACAGCTTTAAAAACCACAAAAGCACAAAGTAAGGTCAACTGTGCTCGGGTTTGTCTTACCATCT